TATTACCTGGAGAGAGAGATGGTCACACACACACACAAAAAGGAAAGGTCAATAACATGGCACTTCACTCAGAAATTACATACACAACAGAAGACAGTAGCCTTTAGTCTGGGGAGCTTTAGACATGCACGCACCTATACTTTCACTTCTCATTTTGAATTAACCCCCATTTAACATAAAGTTTCACATCCTTTTTTGGACCAAGACTACACATGGCCTTTGAGCAGCATGCTAAAGCCTTTAATCCCAAAACTGTGTGCAAAAGGAAATTTAATTTATTTTACATTATTTAAGCACAGTTAATCAGTTATTTCCCATGCATTTAATAATTTCCATCTTCTGTTACATTGAACTGGTTCAGCAACTTTTGGAGTGTTCTGGAAAGTTCCCCAAAGGTTTTAAGGGATTATATATGTCAAGATTAGCAACATGTTTTCCAATCTCAGATATAATGCCAAATTGTAATTTGGTAAAAACAAGAACTTTGACAGTCTTCCTAGGAAGCTGGTATAATCAACTTTCTGTGGCTCTATATAATGGCATTATACAGTATCATAAAAATAATAACATTGTAATTACTGTTGCTGCATTAAGCTGAGAGTGACTACTATAACTTCATGCATTAAATTGATAACTTCATTTACCTGGAATAATTGTGTAACTAACTGCTCTCTTCTGGAGGTAACTGAAATAGGGAGGAATAACCTCCTGTAAAAATACCACATCTGGGCTGTATCTAAATTAAAAAGAGGCATTTATAATGAGATATTCTGTAACCGTAGGAAGAAAAGTGGCCACTTCAAGAAAGCATACAGTACAAAGTTATGGTGCTGGTAACTGAATGGAGAATACTTTGCAATTTTCCAAGGAGAATTTTTATTAACCCTTTTTAAAATAATCAGTGTACTGATTCACACTTCCCAGGTTTTATTTAGGGTACTAAAAAGTACTTGGTTGCCTGGGAGCTAATGTGAAAACTTGTGATGATTCTCAAGTTATTTCTGAATGTTACTTAGGTATAATTAATAATTGTGTTCAAGCATAATGATAAAACTGTAGTTAATCTATATAATGTAAGCAAACCCAGCCTCCCAGAATTCTACACTCCTTCAATGCAGCTATGAGACCCGATACTTTTATTTCATTAATCATGGACTAGGTTTTTATAGAAACCTTAAACTTGGTTTGTTTTAACTTTTCTTAAATGAATCCAGTTTCAGAACTCATACTTTGAAAGTGGCTTATTTCACACAGTACTGCAATCTAATCTTACCTTCAGATTTCCATCAGATATTCCGATGCTTACAGATACAGTGGGGCAAAAAAGTATTTAGTCAGCCACCAATTGTGCAAGTTCT